TTTTTTTTTTTTTTTTTTTTTTTTTTTTTTATTATTATTATTTTGTAGCTTAATTAGATGAAAAGAAATTGGAGAGAATAATCAGAGCTAAGATTTATTAGATATATGGATGGATCTTGGCTATAGATTTGTAGGCCTTTCATTTATTTAGTTAACGCCTGCTTTCTTGGGGTTACTTGTAGAAAGTAGATGAAAAGAAGTGACCACTTCTATTCTATTTTCCTGTATTATGACCACACAACGTGTTCTTCACAGCATCTAGTTGCATATGCTTTTTGGATAAAAGGAAATTGGCGTGGAAATTTAGTAACTTTTTTTAGTGTTCCAGAACTTATTGAACTTGTTAGGACTTCTTAGAATTAGACAAAACATTGAAAGTGTACCAGACACTGTTTAAAGTTCAAACTTATTAGGCACAACTCACCAAGCTTGTAATTCAGCAATTATTTTACTTTTGTTTTTGGCTTTATTCCATATTGACATCTTCTGTCATATATGATATATATTTTTTCCATTTTATGCTTATGACAGAAAATACAACTTCTCTATTCTATAGTTATTAATGGATGTTGCTGAATTTTCTGGGTGATCCGTTTGTTATTATCTGTAGTTCTTTGTTTCTTTAACTGTTATTTTCATTGTTTTCTTACTCTAGGAGCTTGGGAGAATTGGGATGCGTTCAATCCTTTTTGCCCATTTACAGCGTGACAGCAGCATCCTGTTTGACATCCCACCTCACTATTAATGTCAGGGCTTTTTGCGAGCTGTCTCATGGTACCTTCTGCCGTACTTGTCAAGATCGCTAGTGGTCTCTTTGTGAGTCTTGCTTGTTCTAGGACACGCTACATGCACAGTACAGTAGTTTTTTTATCTCTCTTATTGTTACTTTTAGTGGCCTAGATCCTAGGGATGCATTTCAATTGTTAATTTTTCAAAGCAATGGTTTCTGTTTATGGAATGGTAGGTAAAAATAGTCAAACAACACTAAGTATAGGTGATTAGCTTCTCCCACACACAGCATTTGAGTTTGGGATGGAATTGATAGGCAGGAGTGTGGAAGATGGATGATGCTCAAGGACATTCGCTCATTCTGAGCAGGAGGCTGACACAATGTTTTGTAGGTTTTTCTATGTCTTCTTGTGCTTTTGCTTCTGGATAATACATTGGATCCAAGTATTATCCAACTTATATGGAAACTGGGAACCAGGAAATCTAGATGCTTGATCCTTGATGACAATTGGCAGAAAAGTTGCTATGCAACTGTTAATTTCTAAAAGTTTGGTGCGGGGTGGGAGGGAATTCTAATAATTTTTTTGAAAATTATTTCTTTTCTTACTAAATTATTTTTTTTCTTTGTATTCAAGTTCTACAAATTGTTAGATTTGGATCCCATGCTTTATCATGCTTTGATGACATTGCCCACGTACGTCCAATTTGCCATACATTATTTTACTTGCGATCATTTAAAGAAATTGCTGGCGATCATTTAAAGAAATTGGTGTCAGATTGCTAAAATGATAATCATAAAAGTTTCAACTAAAATTGGAAACCCTTGCGATCATTTAAAGAAATTGCTGGCGATACCATCTCCCTTAAATAGACTAGAAGTTTCTACAGTTTTATATTATTGCCTTTTTCTCGTTAAGACACAATAGTGAGAATGTCATGCTTATTTCTTCACTTGTAGTTATACATTATGTGTAAAACTTTTGTCCTTCTGGCTGATAAATCACTTAGGTGCCTGTTTCATGGGTCCAATCATTATCGTTGTCTTGTATTTTGGCACAAAAACACTTAGAAGATAAGAAGATGATTTAATTTGTATACTTTTTGATTGCTTCTCACAGCTGCGGTGCCCCTTTCAGGTACTTAAAGTTCAATGGGATTAAACACATCTATGTGCGGCAATATGAGGGTGCAGGGGACTCTTGAAGAGTTGATACATCAGGAACTATGGTCTGGAATAGGATAATAAGTGTTCTTTATAATCAGAACTGGGATTAAAACATTTGCTAGATACTCATGGTCGAGCTGTTATTTCTTGTTCATCATTGTTCACAATGTCTGTGATTGATTTACAACTAAAAAGAATTTTTATTTGACGTAGTCTCAGTCAAATAGTGGATAATATTCTAAACTCCATCTGAGTGTTGTGTTGATACTAAACTTTGAATTTTCAGGGCCTATACTAACACTTGCTAATTTGCAGAGGTTGGATAGGTTGCAATGAAACTTGCCCTCGGTAGCTTTCCTAACTTTTGGATCGGCCAACACCTTTTCCCTTTGAACCATGTGAGTAATGCTGATGTTTGTTGAGTTCCAAATTGAAACTTTTTTTTTTTTTTTTTTTTTAAATTCTTTGTTGTGGGATGGGGAACGAAGCTTTTATTAGCAAAAGGCCCGACATATATGGCAGATAAAATATCCTCTTCCAAGCCCATAAGATCCCACAAGACTCTTAATTGGCAAAGATTTTCATTAGCACCGAGTGGTTGAGAAATCTAAGTGGATTCTATAAAATTTCATGGCACCACTCAATCCCTTGGAACTCTTTGAATTCTCTCAAACCAGGTCTCCAAACTAGAGCCCTTGCTGCATTAGTCTAGATGGTTCTCGGATGCCCATTGAAACAAGTTCCCTCCCACTATTCTTGAGAAAACATCAGCCAATATCCCAAATTTGGAGGAGCTTATTCTAGCATAAAGCTGCAAAAATGAACATGTAGTTAGGCAACCTCTTTTGAACTCTATAAGTGCTCAACCTTTCTTTGACAAAGACCCAAAGAAAAAATTCACTTTCTTAGGAACTTCCACCTTCAAAATGAGACACTACCAAACTGTAAGTTTGCTACAACCACGTGCCCTCATCAAACTAATGTGCAAAAAATGATACAAGCTTCTGGGTGCAAATACTGGAGCATAGGCAATCTTGGGTAAAGAGTTACTGTGATCTGTCAATTCGAAGCCAGCTGCATGGTGATTATCCATTAAAAACTTATTAGATAAAAAGAATTAGGGTAATTGTTGTAGTGTTAGGACAAGCAGCCAGTGTCAAAAGGTGAATGGGATTGCGAGATAGAAGTCCCATTCTCTTGGAGAAAACATTAGTTTTGTTCTATTAAGTAGGCCCTTTTGTGGGTGGATGATATATGAGTATCCTCTTATGGATTCCTCTACCATTACAGGGAAGTGGGAACTTGTTGCTTTGAGAGGTCACTTTGTGAATGGCCAAAGGGATTGAACTTACACAGGGTCTACCATTTTACGTCTTGAAAAGGAAAAAGACAGTTTAGCCAAGCATCAGTGAATAAGATTTCTTAAGAATATTAATGGGTATGCAAAGAAAGATGTACAGATTTGTTTCGATTTGGATCTGTATGGCTCTACTGAATATAAATATGTGAAGTTCTAAGTGCCTTAGATACCAAATCCAATGAAATCACTGACATGACAATCCTTCGGATGTGCTATTGGTACCTGTTGAACTGGATAGCAAGTAATTGAGTGCAGTGGTTTCTTTGCCTTGTGGTGTTTTCTTTTGGTGATAATACACAAATAATGTGGCTAATTATTATTAGTATTTTTGGTGCTATCCACATTTTTTTCGATGGGATAAATGTTCTCTAAAAGTCTGTCTGTGTCTTATTTTGTTTGTTTTGATTTCATCTGTCTCTACCCATTCTCATGCTCGTAGGTTGATTGGAAGTCAGGGAGTATGATTTGATGGAAAAATTAAGGATTTTAGCTTGAAAATCCAATAGGAGTTAGGCAATTCCTCTTTTATACAAATGAGGGGGGAGAGAAAGCTCTCTCTATTAATGCAAGTGACCTGTATTTTGCTGAATTTTTTCTTGAAAAAATCTTTGATATCTCTAATGATTTCGTTCTAAGCTAAGAAGTGCATATGTTAAAGACAAGACATGGTTTTGTTCTTCATGGTGACTTCATCCGCCATGAGCACTATGGAGAAAAGTTGATTTCAAAGTTCCAAGTAACTCTGGACTTTTTATTTTATTTTATTTATTTTTTTATTTTATTTATTAGAATTTGTCAAGTTCTCTCTACCCAATAGTTATATGCAGCAAGTCGTTGTTGTCTTTTGCTTACATTCTCATATAACACCAAATTCAATTTCTCAAATTTTGCTTCAAAACTCTCTTTCGAAATCTCTCTGCCCCTGTTTTCTAACACTTTTTTCTTGAATCGGGGTTAGAGGCTCGAGCATACGTCGCTTGACCGTAGGTGACACAAGAACAAATAGACTTAACTCACTCGTTGTTGAGAAGTGAGTGTCGCACAATCGCAAGTTCGTTGTCATCAAAGTGCGATTGTGAAAAGTAGTATCATTATACAAAATGCCTAAAGGTAGATTTCAATTATTTCGTTAAACTTAAAAATGTTGTATCTTTTTCTTGGAATTTTGAAATTTATTCCAAAAATACTCTTAAACGTTTCAAATTGTTTTAAAAATATCTATTTCTTTAAAATAAAATATAAAAATTGATGTGACAATTGACTGTGAAAAAATTAAAAAACATTAGTGATATTACTTACAAATAGATTAAGGTCATTATTACTCTTCATTTCATTTAAAAAGATATCGTTAAAATCATTAATTTTTACACTGTTGTCACGTCAACTTATGTGAATGATGTTCGATTATGTTGTATACATTTTCCAATTTTTACATATTGATCGTCACTCATTCCAATGTATTAACAAAATTTCAAAGTTCTAGGAGTAAAAATCAAATTCATTTTCGATTATGTTGTATACATTTTCCAATTTTTACATATTGATCGTCACTCATTCCAATGTATTAACAAAATTTCAAAGTTCTAGGAGTAAAAATCAAATTCATTTTCAAAATTTGAGCATAATTCAAACGCATCCTAAAATTCAATGTACTCAATTTATCCAAAAAAAAAAAAAACAATAAACGAAAACTTTGGTTAAAAGTAAGTTTGAAAGTCATCATTAGTTTCTATGTTTAACATTTTCATAGTTAAGACAATAGGATAGGATAGGGTGACAGTCCTAATGTAGCAATAAATATAATCTACCTAAGTGCCCTACCAACCACACAATGCCAATAATTTCCCCTCATCATATGCCATAATTTGTTCATTATTTTGTCCCCTCATATCGTTTTTTATTCTCTTTTATTTTCCATCCCAAGCACCAATTGAGATAAAAGTTGGAAGAATAGAAAGTCACATAAATACCTTTGTAGTTAAAAAGAACTTAGTTTCTATGGTTATAATAGTTAAAATTTCACTCGAAAAGAACTATTTATGAAGATTCTATCGAATCATATGATATTTTTAACTTTTAAAACCATAGAAACTAAATTTTAACCGATCAAATTTATAACTTAACCTTCTTACACAAGTAATGAGAATGGGAAATTTTGAACTCTTTGGTGAGTTCTCAAGTACATTTTACCTTGTTTATGTTTTTGAACTTTTCCAGTTTCCTTTCCACAAAATGCAAACAAGTTTAACGTATCCAACATAAGCCATGGAATACATACTTGAAAGTAGAAGACTTCAACAACAACATGCATGAGGCAATGCTAATTCGACTAGAATGATGGCAAGCCAATTTACATGATTATAGTTTACCAGAAACTCTAAGCTTTTGGGTCTTCTGCATAATGATCGGGAGTCTGTCGCAGATGATGCTCGGATCGTTGTAGGCAGCAGAATCAGTCGGGTATCCTTTCTGCAAATCGTTTCGGTGATTTAGAGAATGTTGATGGATAAAAACATCATCAAATTGTATAAGACAACTGAAATTATGAGCTTATGGAAAGAGGTTAAATAGACTATCATAGCAAGACTAAAAGACTTTGCCTTTTTCTAGCATGTATTCACATTTTGCTTCTAACATGTCTATGCATAATATTATGATTTTGAAATTAAAATCGAGCACGCACGTTTATATTCATTTTCATGATGTTCACAAAGGATGATATTTTTAAAAAGAGAATCTTTCCCAAGGGTTAATATTTTATATATTGAGTTGACACATTTTTCCCTGATACAACAAGCAAGCCAGTGAACTTACTTCAGCTAGAGCTTGAAACTTAGCCTCTCTCCAGCAACTTTCTCGAAGAATTATCGGATTTTCACTGTTGCTAAATACGCAATGCAGGCGAGTGTCCCTTAGTCTCATAAGCACTCCATCAACTCTAAGCTGAACATACAGAGGTAGAGGGGAAGAGAAATAGTGAGCAAAAGAACTAAAATTGTTATTGTCCTAACATTCTCTCATAAAAATGCTAAGACAATGATAAGTGGGTTAAGTGGTTTACAGATTCTTAAACAAATGGTTATTAAATGATCAGAAAATCAACTTACCCAGAAACGTAGAAGAAGAAACCAGCAACTTGGCATGACTCTCTAGAAAATCAAAACATAAAAATACAAGCCCATGTTGATATCATAATAATTCAATAAGAACATTATTTTCATACTAGTAACATCAGAATTTGGTAACTTACCACTTTAACTGTTAAAAGTGATATACCATTGTCAGCCAACTCATCCTCATATAAGATTACCTGTTGAGTTCCATGCACAGTTTGGTCATGGGAGGAAAGAATCTACCAAGAGCGGAGGATTAAAGAAAAGTATATACAGAATACTTTTATTTATATGTTCTATACTTTATGATTCCCACCTCATCATAAAAGAGAATAGGCTCCTTCAGCGAGAGTGAGACTAAATCAATTTTCTCATTGCTGTCCTCCCAACAGAGACCATTATTCTCTGCAGATGTTTTCTCTTCTCCTCCATGCTGATCAGAAAGGAAAATACTATTATTGACACAGCAGAATGCAAAGAATACAGCAACAGAGAATGATTGCATTCTTCAGTTTATAAATTAAATGCCCTTGTAATCACATTAGCTATTCAAATTGATGCTGCAAGGCCAAGGAACCAACGTAGAAGGGGGCGAAAAAGAAGAAAATTCCAAACCCCTAAAAGACTAATAGCTCAGAAAATTCCACAACCAATGGAAGTTATTCAAGCACTCGATTCAACCAGAAACCAAATCTTTGAGAGGCATATAGGACAAAAGAACATACCTTCTCTGCATTTATTTCAATTATTTCACTCCCAGAATATGGCGTTGTAAATGTATAATCATAATCCAATATCACCTGTTGGAAAGGTTTGCTGCAAATTCAGCAAATTGTGTCAGACCCTACAATGATATATTCTATCCATCAAGAAAAACTTTCATCAGATGTAGGAAATAATTTACAGAAAAATAGACAGACCGAAGAGCCATAAATTTAATTTATCCCAGAACAAAGTGCCAGTAAACACTTCAATCATTTAATGTTTATCTTTGAGAACTAAAGATACTAGCATTTAAATTCAAAGGGATTAATTGCTATGCATTAGCATCCCTTCAAAGAATCAAGTCCTTCCACCAAGATTTCCCTAAGATGCCTACAGACCAAGACAGATAAACCAAATGGAAGTGGCCCTAAATTTCACCAGCCGCTAAATTATAAACATCATAAAGTAATGTATAACTATGACTTCTAAACATAAATCTAATAATACTTTCCAGCCATGGGTCAACAAGAAAGAAAAATAGTCGCTACCTTCTGAATTTCCATTGTGCAGCTGCAGGAACTTCAACAGGAGGCAGAGCTTCCTTTTTCCACCCAGCTAGAGCATCAAAGGCATTGAAATAAATTTTAATTCCAGTTTCCATATGCTTGAGAACTAACGAACTGTCACCGAACACCATCTCTGGCAAGTGAGACGTCTGAAGTTTCTGCTCCCATCTACAAGCAGATTGAGTGATATTATTCAAAGTGCAACTGTTCTTCGACATTTTTTATTTTTTTGTGCGCATGTCTAGGGAATCATTTCAACTGAAACTACAATGAATAAAGGTAGTCAATTCTCTACTAAAAGCACAAATTGAACCATTAACTTTTAGCAACAACAAAAGAACATCCAACAATTCGTGCACCCTCCATTTCCATTTCTTAATTATACTTAAAATCGATCACTACATCCTCCCTATAGAAGACCTCGGAACAGAAAATAATCTGTGGACGTTCTATTCATGATAAGGAACAATATTATATCCTCCAAAGCCTAAAATCAACAGCAATAGTAGTTCAAAATAATGCTATAAACAGTATTAAGTATGAAAACAAAGCTATGGCTTGACAGCTACAACAACTCGTATCACAGTTTGAAATTTAAGTTACGAATTCGTAGTCAACAGATATCTGCCATCACAAACACATAAACCTACGCTTAGAAATTAAAATTGAAGCACAACTGAGGCAAACGATGCATTTAATTGCAGTGATAACAAGCAAAAAATTCAAGAAAGACAAAAGCGGACTCCAAAGCAGGAGAAACTGTTTGATTTCACAGCGAAATCCATTTCCAGAGTTCGGAGAAGTAAAGAAGTTGAATTTAGAAGGAGCCACCATTCTTTCGAAATCAGCAATAGATATCATATATAAAGAGATAGAAAAAGAAAGTACTGCTCAAAATTGGAGGAGGTAAGAATGGAGCGGTTGTGAGTCTCGATCTCCCAACCATGGATACGGATACCTCGCCGTCCGTCGATCAGGAGCTCAGCTCCGGCGGCTTTCAATTCCTTCTCGTCCAGTTCAACTTCCATTACGACACACAATCGGCGGTGGTAGATTTCGGACCTGCTTCTTCAATTTCTTCCGTCTTTGTTGCGTCTCCGTTCCGCCAGTTCGACGAACAATGGGATCGTCGGGTTGACGCGGGTCCACCTTAGGGCTTATGCTAGAGACGATGTAAGAATTTGTCGAAAATTTTTGAGGTATTTTTGAAATAAAATTTAATGTTTGCAATAAAAAAATATTTTCTCATTGAAACAAAATTTATAATTTAAAAATATTTCTATGGTTTAAAATAAAAATAATTTAAATATTATAGTCCGAGAACGACAATAGTTTATTCTTTAGGTCTAATGTCTGGTAAGTAGAGTACTTTGAAAATATCGCTAACAATAGTCGGATAACGATGTAGCAAAGTTTGTTATCACTTGAAAAATAATCGCAAATATTAGAATGAAGATAGAAAGTTAAGAATATTGTCTTACTCATGGAGTGTCGAGGTCGAGTAGGTTAGTACTATACACTCAAATGACTAGTTGAAATTTGTTCGGTATTCATTTGAATCTATCTTTTTAAGAGAAAAACTCAAAAGGAAGCATGAGCATGCTTTCCAAATAAATAATAAACATCAAATCTTTTGTCGTTTATTTTTTTTTAGGAGAGAAGATTTGATCGATTGTACTCGGGTCAATCATTAATGTGGCGCTAAACGTATCACTTATGTATGGATGTTTCTGTAATTGAATGGTGAATCTAGAGAGAAAAAAATGGATGATGCACAAACCATTAATGGCAAGAATTATATCCAATCACAATCTAATCAAACCGTACGCTTACTATACAGAAACGAGTAAGTTCAGTCAGATAGAAGAAGTATCCCATAAATAAGCCAGAAACGAGTAAGTTCCGTCAGATAGAAGAAGTATCTCATAAATAAGCCATTAAAAAGTACTGTCAAATTTTTTAACGATGGGTATTAGAGTCGAGCTAACTTAGCTTATTGCAATAGAACTTCCGAAGGTTGTTGTTCGGGAAGCTTACACGTAGAGTGCATTCTTCAGAATAATAATAAATAAATAAATAAAGGTTAAAAGTTAACTTGTTTCTTAAAGAAATGAGAAGCTTGGAGTCATGGAAGTCTAGCGGAAAGAAATATTAGAAAGTAAGCTAAATTTATGATACGCGTGTTAGGAATCACTACTCTCTACAATGATTTGATATTATCCACTTTGAGCATAAGCTCTCGTATTACTTACAATGGTATGTTTACTTTTTGATTTTCCCAAAATGCCTCGTACCAATGGTAATGTATTCCTTACTTATAAACTAGATAATTTCTTTAATCAATCAATGTCAGACTCCCTCCCAACAATTCTCAACAATCTAACCATCCTCCCTCAACAATCTAACCATCTTCCCCTCAAACAAAGTAGACCATTAGAGTCTCCCCTAAAGCTTATAGAAACCTTAGACCGTCTCTCCTTAATCCTTAATCGAGACTCGACTTCTTCTTTGGAGCCCTCGAACAAAGTAGATCATTCCCTTAATTAGCCAATGTGGGACTCCCTCCCAACAACCCTTAGCAATCCTTCCCTCGAACAAAGTAGACCGTAGAGTCTCCCCTGAAGCTTATGGAGTCCTTGAACAACCTCCCCCCCTTAATTGAGACTCGACTTCTTCTCTAGAGCCCTCGAACAAAATATACCATTTATTCAACACTTTGGTCACTTTCGGCTACACCTCCGAGACTCGCAATTTCTTTGTCTGACATTTGAAAATTCTATTGACACAATATAGTTAAAGGCATAACTATGTTACCATGTTAGAAATCATGACTCTTCACAATGATATGATATTGTTTACTTGAAGCATAAGCAATGACTTTGCTTTTGGTTTCTTCAAAAGGCCTCGTACCAATAGAGATTTATTCCTTACCCTACATAAATTTATAATTCTTTATACACGAATTACGTGTACTTATTCAATTTGTATTTTAGAGGTGTCTTTTGGAGTATTATACAAAGGATCCATTTCCCTTGTTCGTAACCAAGTAAAGCAAAGCACTTTAAGAGACTGATTCTCCATGTGTGTTCTTGAGTATTATCATAAGCTCATTGACATTGCCAATACCAAATCTACTACTAACCTGTGACATTTGATATAGTTGCAAAGTTGAACTTATAAATTTGAGCAATTTTTCTCCAAAACCTCTTGAAGTGATTTCATTAAACTTTATCATTGTAATTCGCTTAATAGCAGCTTAAAAAGTGCAAGAACTATTTCAACTATAACTTTCATTATGATTCAATTGCATTCTTACAATGAAGAGAGAGAGAGAGAGAGAGAGAGAGAGAGAGAGGGGG